TTTATATCAATTGTTTAAAAAAAGTTTTTTTTTCTTTATTGCCGTATTTTGAAATATATGTAAAATACTTAGGAAAGTCGTTATTTGCATTTCTATTTTGGCCTTAAGTAACTAGCTTAAATATCTTAAATAATTATAATTAAATATTAAAAATCTATTAAATAGTTATAGATTATATAAATATCAGATAATAAAAAATGTTCAAGAAGTCAAAAAAGTATCCGTGCAACGAAGTAATAATGCAAAAATATTGAACGGTTCGTTAAAAAACTATAACGGGTTCTTTAAAGAACGTTATTTTAAGGTTCTTGCGAAGAGCCTTCGCAAAGGGTTCTTTGAAGAACCTCTACGAGCTCTCCACCAGCGTCAACACGAAGAACCCTTAAAGATTTTTTGAAGAACCATTCGGGTTTAGAGTATAGATACGATATAATTGAAATGATTATTATTAGATTTTAGCAGCCGTGGTGCAGTGGTTAGAGCAACCAAAGGTTGCGGGTTCGTTCCCGCTCGAAGCACTTAAACGGCTCGAAGCCGTTTTTATTTATTTGAAGACATTTGCTAATTTGAAAACATTAAATGTTGAGAAGCGCTTTAAAATCTATTGTTTGTTTACCTGTTAAAAAAAGAACTAAATTTATATGAGTAAAAATTTATGCAGAACTTCTTTTTTTAAACTCTTTACAATTAATTTCTTTTGTTTTTAATTTAAATTTAAAAGTATTATCACTATTTTTACTTTGTAAAACTTAATGGCCAGGAATAAATTCGCAATGGCCATGTTTTGGATCTCTGGCCAAGATTTGATGTTTTTCACGCCTTCTAATATTTGTGCTAAAACTTGTTAACTTATTAACAAAAACTTCCAAACTTGTCATAAATTGTATCTCAAGAGGTTTTTTAAGAGTTTAGAAATATTTTTAAGAATCTAAGCGATTCGCGGTAACACGAAGCAGTTTAAAATTAAGCGGCCATGATTTGATGATTTTACCCTAAAAAAGTTTATTTAAAATTAGAGATCGTTATTTTAAGCAGTATATAGTGCATTTTTGGTACTCAAATCATTTTTAAACATTGCTCATTGTTAGTTTTGTTTGTTGTTATTCTATATTTTTATTAAATAGCACCGTTATTTAAGGTAAATTTAATAACACTTCAATGTCATTTAGAAAACAAAATTGTCGGAAATAGTGCAAAACCGCGTAACTAGCATTGGATTATACCGCGTATCTACAATACATTTTTTTTACTGAAGAAATTTATTCATATTTTTTGTAATCTCAACAATAAATATTTGGTGTTAAAATTATTAATATCCGAATAGCCAATGCTAGTAACGCGGATTTGCCGAAATTTTTACTATTGTTTTTATCTCGCTTGCTTTTTAAGCTTTTATCTACCTTGCAATTAAAAATACGCAAATATAAATAATCGTTCCTAATGGGATATGATCTAAACCACTGATCTCTATAATAACTGGATAGCGCATCTCTAATATCAAAAGTGAAGCCAATATTTTGTACGGCGGCCATATTGGAAAGCCCCAGAATACCGAAAATACAGTGATTGCGCTTGAAGATGTACCTTTTTACTTCGTTTATATCTACTCGACCAAGTCACATATTTCAATGATATTATTATATTTAAAATGTTTGAAGGTGTAAAAATTATAAAAGGGAATCAAAAACACGCAGAACATTAACGACGAAGAGAAATATCGCTATAAAGAAATAATAAAATTTGTATTGCTTTCTATGAACTTGTTAAATTTATTGAATTCATGATATTCTTAATAAAACTTTTCTAAAAGACAAATTGATATTTGATCTGGTTACTTTTGGGTGTTTGTTTTAACAACTTGATGCGACCTTACTTAGCAATAGTAGCTGGAAAGTAACTTTACAAGTATAAAACATGATAAAAACATTGTATCAAACATTTTTGTAAATGGTTTTCTAATTTTTGAAACTCTGAGGGCATGTTTATATTGTTCCACAACTGAAATATCATCAACTATGCAATACTTTATTAAAATTGTTATCACTTAATAACAATGTTTTGTTCTGTTGCTTTGCTAACTTTAATTACACTTTGTGAAGGTTTGAAAAAGCCATCTCTAACTTTAAAAAATACTGGATATTTGGTGATAACTAGTTATTTGCAGTTTTACATTAAAGTATTTAGTGTTTTAGACTAAATAACAGCATCACATACATGTTGATTGTTTATATGTAAATATGGTATAAATGAAAACAGACATGGTTTCTTTCAAGTTTTTCTATTGACTCTAAAGTAAAATAATAATGATTCAGCTAACATCTATCAGTTTTATACTGATAAATATTAGTTGTATAATTAATAAATATTTAAAATATCTCTTGTGAAAACAAATAAGCAACATAAAAAACCAAAATGAAAGGTGAACAATTTTTTTTCTAAGTGTACATACTTTTTTACTTTTCCCTACCACATAATACCTTTTTATTCAATGTTTATTTTGTTATTCAATGCTTATACAAGTTATTCAATTATTTTGTTCAAGATGATAGAGCTAACTATTATTTTATTTATATTTTTTTACTTTAACATATTCTTTTGTAATTGCAATATCTTATACAAATGTTCTGGTGTTGTGAAAATGTCTAATGGCATTTACAAAAATGTCTTGAAAGTATTTTTCGACAGTTAAGCGTTAAGTTAATTTATATATATATATATATATATATATATATATACACGCAAGAACAAAATTATTAAAAGTAAATATAAAGATTTGCTATATGTTGCCTGAGGAACCTTTAGGTTGTGTTACAATCACATTGCCTAACTAATGATTCATACAACAAACTTGTAAGCTGTTTACCTTGCAAATATGTTACAAGCCTCAGGCATTTTGCAGAGGGCAATTAAGAATCAAAAGGTGCATACTAATATACACTTGCATGCTATTATAATAATATTATACCAGGGTGGCCAGCTAACTGGAAATCATGGAAAAGTCAGGGAATTTTTTTCTGGTCAGGAAAATCAGGGAAAAATGTCTTTTTTGAAAATTTAATTTTTTTTAAAGGTTTTTATTTACTTACTCCCAAACAACAAAACTTAAAAATTTACACTTCAAAATATAACTGAGTCAGGGAAAAATATAAAAAGTCAGGGAATTTAATTCTTGAAAGTGGCTGACCACCCTGTATACATAATTTATATATATATATATGTATATATATATATATATATATATATATATATATATATATATATATATATATATATATATATATATATATATATATATATTTATGTCACTCTCCATGAAATAATCTGAACATATAACATCAGATTTACTCAGTTTTTAATAATCAATGCATTTATAAGGTTTTTGCATTTTTTATTTATCAAGCGAAATCTGTGTTTTAAGCGCATATAAGTTTAACGCAACTACGGATTTATTAATTCTGGGGCTTTCCAATATGGCGTCTTTTGGCTTCAAAAATTTCGAAATTTTATTAGGAGATGCGCTATCCAGTTATTATAGAGATCAGTGATCTAAACACAACCTTGTTATGCTAATAAAAAAAAATTTAAGTCACGCATGCGTATTTTAGTTCTCATATTGCAATTACGAACGGTCGATCTCGTAATATAGACGATGAATTAACGTGGAATCAACGTCGATTTTATTTGATAGTTTTAAACAAATTTTTCAACGTTGATACAAAGTTGATTTTTAGTTATACGACGTCGCGACTAAAAATCAACTGTAAATCAACGTCGAAATAACGTCGTGTGCCCACTGGGTAACTCTCAAAAACAAAAAATTTTGGTATTTAGAGATACTTTTAGGTAAAACGATTAACATTTCTGAAACCCCCATATATTTAATTGTTTAAATCAGTTTTTTTTTTTTTTTTTTGATTTTTAAAAAATTTCTTTCTATTTTAATAATGACTATTATTAAAATAGAAAGAAATTTTTTAAAAATCAAAAAAAAAAAAAAAACAACGAGTGTAATCGATAACAACAACGAGTGTAATCGATAACAACAACGAGTGTAATCGATAACAACAACGAGTGTAATCGATAATAACTATCAGAAATATATTTTTCTGATTTTTTTTTTGATAAAAAGTAACAAGAAATTACTAAAATTTAGCCAAGTTCATCATTTGTCGCGTTTTTTATAAACTAAAAGAAGTTTTTTTTACTATTGTATTGTATGATAAAACATTTTATTTTTGTTTTTATTCTTTTTACAAAACAAAATTATCTCAAATATTTCAAAAGTTATAAATATTTTAGTAACACCCTCAAAGTAAATATTTTCCAAAAAAAACAAGAAGCTGTAAAGCTCACTCTGAAACAGCCGTGGGAAAGAAGTCAAAAAAGACATAGAAGAATTAAAACATACACTCTAAAAACAGTCCGTTAAAAAAAGTAACGGATTGCGCTTTTTCGTTAAATTAACGGATTAATTCGTTACCAAAAACCAGAAAATTAACGGAGTAAAATTAACTATTTACGGATTCTTTGAAATTTCGTTAATTCAACGGATTAAATATTCTAATCGGTCAAAAAAAAATTTTCTTTATATTAAAGCTTTTTATTTTGAAAATGATAAAGTTTTGAATGCGTTTTTCTCACATTTACATTTACATCGTAAATAAAAGTTGGTTGCAGTAAGTGTAATATGCCATTTTTTAAATGCTTTACATTTAGTAGACAAAGCAAATGGATAAATATAATTTAAATTACGCTCTGTTATTTGTAATTTCGAAGGTTATTTATATTATTTTAAATTTTCTATATAAAGCTTTATATAGAAAATTTAACAATAAGGTTTATTTTGTTTTAAATTAAAAGCCATTAGTATTACTAAATAATATATAATAACATATATGGTAAGTTAATACATATCATATATGGTAAGTTACTACATGTCTAAATCTAGAAAATTATGCAAGAATATATGCAATCCATATATATGCTATATTATAGAAATAAAAGTTCAACTAATCCTTTACTAGTAGTAAAGGGTTAGTTGAACAATTATTTCTATAATATAGACTAAATGGATTATTTATAGTCTTTTTTAACTTTATATTTTAGTCATATGACATGTAGTAACATACCATATTAGTTTAAATCAGTTGTAAAATTAAAAATGTTAACATTTTTGATAGGTACATTTATTTAGGTTAGTTACAGCTAAGTTTACATGGCTAGTTAATATGCTTTTATAAATTGCTATTTTTATTAATTTCCAAATTAAACATGTGGCATCCAATATCATAAACTAAGTTTATACTGGTTTGTTTATATTATTTCAGAATTTTTTGTTTTAGACGCATGGCATTTGCTATCCCACTGTAAGTTAAAACTAGTTGTAAAATTAAAAAATTTATATTGGAACTTCTATTTTTTTTAACAACTAAGGTTATATATGAGTTATTTATACTATCTTAGAATTTGCTGCTTTAGAGGCACGGCATTTAGTGTCACATTGTAGGTATAAATTGGTTTTAGAATTTATATTGGAACTTGCATATTTATTTAGTTGAGTTTAATGTAAGTTATATTTGATGTATTTGTATTATTTTAGAATTTACTGTTTTAGACACGTGGCATGTGGTATCCCACTGTAAGTTTGAATTAGTAAATTAAAAAAAAATTATATTTTTACTTGCATTTCTTTTGACGTTCATGTTTATATAATTAGATTACAACTAAGTTTGTGTATATATTGCTTGTTTATATTATTTCAGAACTTGCTATTTTAGACTACTATATTCTATATTCACTATTATTTTAGAATTATCTATTTTAAACATGTGCCAAGTGGTATGACATTGTAAGTTTAAATAAGTTGTAAAATTAATTTTTTTATATAGTTGCTTGCGTTTTTTTTGGTCTGCATATTTAATCTTGTTTTGATTTATTATAGTTTTTAAAAGGTTAGAGACCTTATTTTTTGCTCCTGATAGGTATTGATGTATGTGAAATGTATAGAGTCTTTCAGTTATCAGATAATGTCAAGGTAATCTTATACTTTTTGTTAAATTTACATTTTAATAAAGATATAATTTACTTGTTCCATTTAACTTTATCTTTAGAAATCGATATCAGAGATAATTTAAATAACAAAATTTAGAATAGAAAATTATATATAATGAATTACCAAAAACATTTTCTATAGTGTTATCAATAACAATTTATTTTGGTTTTATACTAGGTATGTTATTAAGTTTCCATATTTTCCTTATTTTATTTTATATTAATCTTTAAGGAGTTGACAGCATGGTGTTCGATTAAAAGTGCGAACCTGTGTACGAGTAACGACAGTATTCAAAACCAAAACCTATTTAAACCAACCAAACCAAAACTAGCGACCAAAAACTAATATCTTGGCATTGGTTTATTTTAAACATCTATTATTATAAACATTTGATTAGTTTTTAATTTTTGGTTAAAACGTTTTAATGTAAAATATCGAAATAAAATAATGCAAATAAATAAAAATGCAAACATTAACAAATATAAGGATTATTTGGTTATGAAGTCACAATTCTGGCCTCTCTAATTTTAGATTTTAGTGATTTTAACAAAATAATCACTAAAATAACTTATTAACACATTTATTTCATAAAAATAACAACCGCAGAAAAATTGCTGCCTAGTGTAATAACTCCTTAATTTTAACGGATTATTAGTTGCTCTAACGAAATAAATCCGTAAATTCAACGGACTATTCCTAACGGAGTTCAATTCGTTAAAATTTTAATTCGTTAACTTAACGGATTTTCCGTTAGTGCAAAAGCGTCAGATACAATTCGTTGAATATAACGGATTTTTTCTTAGAGTGTAGCTTAAATTTTTATGAACAACTAACCGATGAAAATATTAAGAAAGCAACTGTTTGCAGAAAAGAAGACAATTGAGAAATTAGACGCATACAAAAAAAGTTACGAAGATGTAAGATGAATTTAGACGTTATAATTCAAGTGTAGATGGAATTAATGAAAATGAAGTTGAAAGCTGGGAGGAAAGCAATCTGATGGTAAAAAAAGTTTTTAAAGACTTATTATCTGTTAAAAATGTCTAAATTGAACGGGTCTATAGAACAGGAAAAAAAAGAGTCAATTAGACCGATATATAATATTGATTAAACTTTTAGATTTTAAAGATAAAGTTGCAATTTTACGCTAGTTAAGCAATCTGAAAGGGAAAAACATTTATATAAAAGAGAATTTCTGCTCTAAAATAACGCAAAACAGAAAAGGTTTGAGAGAGATAAAGAAAATCAAACGAGCGGCTGGTAAGTTTGCATACATATCTTATGATAAATTGATAAATTGCGATTGGGTAGCAAAAGTTTATCAAATTAAAAAAAATGAATTCTCGGATAAAAATGACATTTTCAGTGGTAATGACACCGACTCAAACTATTTTAATCACAAAATGTTAGAAAGTAAATATTTCTTCGTTTCTGAATCTTTGCAACATCTTAGACTAAGTAAAAATACTTTTTCAATTTTAAATATCAACATTCAAAGTTTTACAGCTTTGTTGTAAATGTAAATCAACCAACGCTAGAGATTGTTTACAGAGAGGTTGGTTAGTATTACTTTTGAAGTTATGTGTGCTGACATTGCATTGAAACTTGAATTACTCCAGCTGAGCCAACCGTAACTTAAAGGTTTTTTTTTTCTTGTTGAAGTCTACAACAAAAAGACCGACTAAACAGCATTGAGATTTTCCCATTGGTGTCCTAGCAAATTTTCTTCTTTTATTGAGATTAGGCGATCAGGATTGTTGGTGAAAATAAGGTCAAGCGTAATAATTGGCATTGCAATTAAGTTGTTATGGTACGTTGGAAATGTTACTAGTTGAGTTAGATAGCAGTCTTTATAATACTCTTGGAATTCGATGTCACTGGGACTTTAGTCAGTTACATGAGTGGTTGTTCTTACACCACAACCAAAGTTGCATGATTTGTAACTGGTTTGGCTAAAAGTAAAATCATTATACAAGAGCATTGTTGAATACTTTAATTCTTGCAATACTTGTCGCGCTGCTTTGATATTCTTAGGGTATACAACCAAGAAGTATTTATTCGTTTTTAAAATGGATTTTGCGTCTCTGGTTGGCAAAACACACATACGACCCCCCCCCCCCCCACAATGAGAGACATCTTGTAGACGGTCCTGAATGTAAAATCCATTTATCTCAAAATGTATTTATAAACCTTATTCTATTATTTAATGTAAAATCGTTAAATAAGTGCAATCTTTGTAATTGAAAAAAACTTCAAGAACCTTTCTGCAAAACTATATAAGCTATTTAATTCTTATCGCGGCCTTTTTTATCGACTAAAAAATGACCGCGCCTAACTTCGCCCTCTTTTTATTTGTCTTTGAAGTACACTTTACTTTTTTCTAGCGAAAATTAAAAGAATTTATCTTTTCAACAAAAAATATTTTGTTTGTTTTTATTTTATCTTTTATTTTTTTATATATTTTATCCAGTATACTTATATTTTATATGAACATTTATGCATTTTGGCTTAATTTCATTGCTTTATTTTAATTTTTTATTAATAATATTTTTGATACTAAAAAGAGTTTTTATGATAAGATCGTATAATCTTCAGGATGTCCTTGTATACTATACATGCAGACGCAGTGCAGTAGTTAGCTTGCTCGCCTCAGAAGCTAGAGATTCAACACCACCTCTGGGCAAGATTTATAACATCAGTAATGAAGGAGACGTAAACTTCCTTTTAAATGCTTTTACACTGTGCTCTGTGATAAGACCTTAAGAACTTCTTGGGACATTTGAAGTAAAAAAATATATATATATTTGTGATAAAGCTATTCTGTAATATTTATTTATTGAAGGCTAATAAATTAAAAAAAAATGATTTATAATATAAAACTGTGATACTGTGATATATGTGCATGTGTGTATAAATTACAAAAACACACAAATATATATTTGATTTATGATTTTTTAACGTTTTGTGAAATAATTAAGTTCCTGTTTTAATAAACAATAATACATCGATGAACTTTTGCTCAAAAGTAATGAAAATGGGTTTTATTCTATTTAATTTTCAAAAAAGGTTACCCACAACATGAAATTTTTAAATGGTATATAAGTAGTATTTTCAGGCAGTAGCTTTATGACTTTCTAAAACCTAGAATTTTCTGTATCGCGCGTATGGCCTTATGGAAACTTTTAAAATTTTTTGTATTGTTTTGGATGTTCTTAGAAAACTGTAAAACATTCTAGAGTTTTCTAGAGAACATCATGAAAAATTTATTTTTTCTTCTGATCATAAATTATTCTATAAATATATGAAAATTATCGATAGCTATCCTTTACTTTTAAAGAAAATTTTTCATACATTTTATAAAAATTGGTTCAGAAATAAATCATAAGCATTAGTTTTTTTTTGTTTTTTTTTTTCCTTTTTTTTAGGTGCTCAAAGATGTCCTTACGGACTTATCAGAGAGCACCGCAAATGAGGATTTAGTCTGAAGTTAACGCCTCTTTGCTAACCGATGTCAAAAAACTTGCCCAGAGGTAGGGTTTGAGCCACTAATCTTTTGTTTTTAAGCAAGTACGCTACCACTGGCTACGGCTGCTTAAACTAAGAATTGCATTGTGACATTTTAGTTTTTAATTCCAATTCATTTAATAATTTTTTAAATTGACGTATGACACTTTCATTTATTTGTCTCATAAATACTGTGGATTCAAAGGTAGTATTGTTAAGAGTTATGCTTTCAGTATTAAAGAATATAGAAAAATAATCAATTAAGTCAGTCCTGATTATACTCGTTATATAACGGCTGTTATGAAATTTTTTAGTTGTTATGTTATCTAGCAATGTTGATGACATTTTAGTTATACTCTTGTTGCTTTGTTTAGGATGAGACTATATTCGAGAACAGTATCAGTAAAAAAGTCTCAGCATTTAAAGCATGGTTGAGTAAGTCAATGTTTATATCTTCAACTAAGTAAACATGTTTCTGTTATACTTTTTTGTGCGCAGATCAGTTTTGAATGCTTTTAAACTACCAGCTGTTATTCAACTACCAGCTGGTAGTCAACATCATGTTCTAGACCGATTCCTTAGCATAGTAAAGGATGAAGAACTTGGAGGAAGCAATATGTCACCCAATATCGAATATCCGTTTATTCCAAAACTTGTATAGAACTACAAACAACTCAGGATGAATTTCAAAAATGGTAAGGAAGTAATTGCAGAAACAGCAGGTTGACTTGAAATTTAATTTCTATTTCATGTAACTTGGGTATTCTGCTTTTTTGAAGAATCTCAAGTATTTCCTAAAATGAAGTTTTAGAAAAAACTTAATTTAAATAATGCAAGATTAAATTCCCAAGCAATACTAGCTCTTTCTCCATTTATTCTTCTACCAGAGAGAAAAGACTCAGCACTTGATACTTCTAGATTCACCTTTTATATATCGGCGGACTATAAGTTAACTGACCAAATGCACAACGCAGATATATAAATTTTTTATGTTAATTCACCTTCCTAAGGCCGATAAAACAACTACAGCCAAAAAAACTATTTTAATTGTAGTTAAAACCCTCTCTCAACTCTATAATTTTAAAACACAAATCTTAAAGAACAAGGCCGCTACAAAAAGAACAACTCAGTGAAAAGTGTTTTAGAATCAGGACTCATCAAGAATGAAAATTCCCTGAAGAAATCAAATGGTGCTTTTACAAGTTAGCAGCTCAGTAGAGCAGTGAAAAAATTATGTGCAGTTGCAGCTGCTAAAATATTTAACATTAAGGGAATGATATTAACACATATCTCACAACTAAGCTGTGTTGGTAACTAATCTATTGGTTATTCAAAACCAATGAAATTCATATTTTATGGATATACTGCAAAAGATGTACGTTGACTTGCTTTTGAGTGTGCTTTTAAATACAAAATAAAATTATCCATTCTTGAAATCTTTCTTGGTTTAGGACAAGCACAAATCTTAAAAGAATTTATTCTCAATCTTTGTGGCTTCGGGTTCCAATGGCGCTAATTGCATTTTTTGGTCTTCAAGATCTTCCAGACATGGAGCAAACTCCAAACATTTATATGTTTATACTTATGTCAAATAAGAATGCTTTGCAAAATATTTTGATGATTAGAGCTTGGGAACAAAAAAAGCTCCAAAGTTTTGGCCCTTCTTATATTGATCGATAAATTTTAAGTTTCATATTATTATCTCTCAACATTTAAAAAGAATGACCATATAAAAGCTGCAACCCCCTCAAATTGAAGGGGATTTAAACTTTATATGGCCATAAATTTTGAACGCTAAAATATTTTACTATGAAACTTAAAAATTATTGATGAATGTAAGTCTAGTTGAAAATAGTACAAAAAAAATTTCATTAACTTGTTGCTTTCACGTTTGGGACAGGGGAGGCCAAAATTTTAAGGCTTTTTTGTTCCCAATCTCCAATCATTGAAATTTTTTGCAA